CGTGGATTTTTGTAGGGGTGTGTAGTTTTGACACTCAGAGCCATAGAGTTCCATAAAGATCGCTCCTTGACCCGATTCGCTTACCCCCCCCGATTCGCTCTGGACCCCTATAGCCTATGACCCAGGCTTTCTTGGAGGCAACGCGGCCATTTGACTATATTTGACCCCCAGCCCCCAGCCATCGCCCAAAACATGCTGAGGACTTGAGATGTCACTCGGCCAGGTCCGAGAGTTCGTCGAGTTTTTTGGGACGGGAGCGAGAGGTCCTGCACCCGAGATGGGTGCGATGCCGAAGTTTGAAGAGAAAGATTGAGAAACATCTTCAGTATGAGCACTTGATATCGCCTTGGCTGCAGAAATGAGTCGGATCAGTCATTTTCACCACCTGACTCGAAACCCATCGTGGTCAGAGCCAGTTCATTGCATGAAGAGCGGCTCCCCTTTTCCGCCAAAATCGTGGAGAGTCCTCGCATGGAACGCGCCAAATCGATGCTCTCAGCCATTTTTGGACGCTCCAGCCTCGTAGTTCCAGCCACCCAAGAAGGCCATGCCGCAAGGTCTCAGTTCCTTGGAGGGAGAGGGCGGAGGACACGGATGTTGACTTCAATTTTAATCTAGCTTCTTGTTACTACTAGAAAGGCACTTGTTACTACTAGCGATGCACTTGTTTCTAATAGCTTCTTGTTCCTAGTAGCTTCTTGTTACTAGAAGCAAGAATGCTCCGTTCGTAGCGATGCCATGAGCCCCGTTCGTAGCGTCCTTGCTCCTAGTAGCGATGCCCTTTGTTACTAGTAGCTTCTTGTTACTACTAATTGTCAATTGTCCTCCGATCCCATATGGATTTTGGGTACCTCCTACCGGGAGGACCCACATTGAGTCATTTGGCCCTCATCAAACTCATTGACTTGCGAAGAAACATGTGAAGCGAATCCCAATCAGTCAGGGCATCCACGGGTCTGATGGGATGCTTCCATATGTAGAAAAGAAACTATGTAATGTAGACTCAATAAAACTTCCTCATTTGGATTGTAGAACCTCTATGATGATGAATCATATTTTCCCCAGACATTGGAGGTCAGGTTCTTCTAAGAATCTAAAGATTCGCACGAACAGGGCACCCAATCGGACGTTGCCCACACGAAAGACGAAAGTAGCAGTGACCATGTCAAAACAAAGTCATGTTATTGCTTCTCATGTTCTATGTTGTTCTTGCTTTTTGTAGTTGTGGCGTGCTATCTTAGAAGACATGCCGACATCCATATCGATCGAAGCAGATATATGCTCAGCATTGGACCACGATGAAGGACTTTATAGTCAACACGGGTGCAGGGGGACTGTGAGAACAGGGTAATTCTACGTGCCGCTGCCACCGAAAGGTTTATGCTTTCATCCTGATTTGTTGTGCATTTGTTTTGCATCTGACATGGCTACTGGGTTTACTGCAAGGTTGTTACTTGTGGGACATTGGACAATTCTGCAGAGAACATGTAGTTTATGAACTCTTCCTGATTTGTTTGTTCCACATTCTTTACACACTGAAGACGTGCCGCCCCTAAGGCGATGCCGCCAGATCCATCAGTGCCCTAGGTGCGAAGATCAGCGGGCGAAGCGAGGAATCAGTGAAGGCCCTAGAGTCACCTTGAACAGAACGGGACATCCCTCAAGAAGTTCTACCAATCCTGACGGAAGTAATTGTTGCACCTGGAGATTTTTGGCAACGATTTGAGGGCGTGTGAGACGCTGAAAGCAGTTGGAACCTGCAGGTGCTGGCAACTTTTTATCCTTTCACCCAGTGAAAGGAGTGCATACTGCATACCATGATGAAAAGCCACGACCAACTGCAAGGCCATGGCAATTAATTGCGTGACAGCTGCACACTAGAATAGATTGTCTGTGTGCGAAGAATGGCCATTTGTTGGACAACTCCCACATGTTCCAGTTCCAGAATTTTTCATTTGTCAAAACGGAGCATGCAGGACAACTTCGAGATGTGAGAACCCAACCGAGAAACACCAAGTTAGTTCTACTAGCTGGAGGCGTTTTTTCCCCTTCGTCAGCACGACAAGTGCCAGGATTGGAGCCCCCAAGTGCTAGACTCCTGAAAGCCGCGAAAGCCGCTGTGCACCGTGCCGAGAGTGACGCGCGACTGACGGCAGCCACTGGGCAGAATGGGGGAGGAGATCGCAAAATCTCCCTCACACGGTTCTTTCCCGTTGGGTCCAAACCAAAACAGCGATTGCTCTAGATGTTGACCAAAGGATACCAGAGGTGTGTCATTTTTGACCCAAACTATTCTTTGATATACTTCGCAGTTGAACAAGTATACAGGACGCAGGTATACGCAGCTTTTGGGAGCAATTTCTCTTTTTGGGGGCTGCGACTGTGCTGTGTTCGACGTTAACACCCGATGTGAGGGGCCGAATCCAGGAACCATCGGACGTTCGGCGCTTCGGCGCTTCCGTTCCCGAACGGGAGGGTCGACTCGACCGCACCGTTTGGAAGGCAACAAGAGAAGTAAACATCGCTGGTTCTGCGGCATTGGTGCAACGGGAGTGGTGCAAGTCTTTTCTCACGTTCTTGCACACATCGGAATCTCTTTTGGGAGCATGCCATCCTAGTGATTTCTTCCCACTTGCTGCTTTCAGAAGACACGTCAAACATTTTGAAAATGATTGATGATGAAAGACTTGGTGTACATTCTCAGCGCAGCGTACATCCCACTAAAAGGTGCAATCCCTCTCCGACAGGTGGGTTTTGAGGACCAGTGGAGTGCTGAACCGTCACTGCGAACTGAGGCGAGCATGGCGCTGCACACCATCCCAATGAGCAGCATGGAGAAGGAGGGTAAAGATTCCAAGTACTGTGAGAAGTAGTGGGCGAAGCCTTTCGCGAAGCTTTTCGCGAAGCAACTTTGCGGGAGTTGCTCCTGGTGTACGCCTGCTTTTGTTTTTTTTCGTCGATTGAAATGGTAGAAACCAGCGTCAATCCATGGCAAATCAAACAATGTTGATAGTTGATGATTGTAATTTATTTGATGTTTTTTTTCACACCACCACGTATGATCATGGAGTCATAAGGTGTGGATGGGCATGAAGGGCCCTGCCGCAGGATTGATCGTTTTCCGTGTCTGGTTTTTAAACCGAGGAAATCCGGCGTGGTAGGCAATGACACATTTCGTGAGTTGAGATATTTATTACCATTTTCGATAGCATGAACCTGGGGCAAAAGCCTGAAGGGGTTCCCTTTCCCAAATACAGGGTGAGCTTGCCTTCACACACTGAATTTGCTGAATTTGGGAGAACATAGCAGTCAAGTTTGTTTTAGGGCCTTCCTATTTCCTAGGTCCATCTAGTTCCGTTTGCTTTGTTTTCGTGAAAGCAAGTCTCGTTTTGGCCAAAACGGCCTGCGACGGTGTGGAGCATCAAAACCGCAGATCGATCATCGGTCCGTCCGACGGGGCTTTGACACCGAGACCGAGTGGCAAACGCGTTAGACCGAGTCATTCTCCGCCCCTCGACATATCTCGTAGACTAAGAATGCACTTCCCCCCCCAAATGAAAAAACACACACACACCCTCTCGGGCCAGAGGTTCTTTGTTGTGGAATGCGGGAAGGGATTCGAAAGCTACGGCAATGGTGATTCCTGAAATAGACGTTCTCCTCTTGCGTGAAACAATGAATGCTGGCCACGGACTTGTCACTGGCTTGGAACAGGGCGCATGTGTTATGATGATCTCGATCCCTCTACTCAGGAATATGCAGTCAACATTTCTTATATTGTACCATTCTTAGAGTACGTGGGTCCATTCTCGGAACCCTCATCCACTTTACATTTGATAGATACTGAGCTAGCGAGACAGCATATTTTATCTTGTTCCAAAGAACAGTAAATATAGGACTCTGTAACATCCAAAATCGATCGGTTTACTCTCCGACTCACTAACATTGAAGCTGGGACCCGCCTGGTTGCAAAGGAACACAGGGCCCTGTTCCACTCCCATGTTGATCCGGTTGGACTTGGTTTTCTCAAGTCCTACACCATTGAGGCCTATGGTTGTTGATGCCTCAAGTGCCCCGCTGAAAAGCCAAACGTTGGGACTGACTTGCAGACTCGACTTCGATCGCATGCAACCAAGATCTACTGAACCACTTGAGATCTCACATGCTACTGTGGATTGCCTTTGGATGTACTTGTATCATTAAAGCTCGTAGTTGGAGGAAGAGCACCAAAATCCATGTTTCTGCATATTGACCTTGCCTTGTCAGCAAGAAGCTTCTGCTTGGAAGCTTCTCCTTGTCCTTTGTTTTGGGACATGTCAATCTTCAAGATCTAAAATAACAAGGTCGCAACATAAAGGAACCTTCCTTTTTCATGGTTGGGTATGATGTATGGCATTATGCTGGAGAGGGGACTGGTTGGGACCCGTAGACTCAGCTTCGGGATGTCACAGTGATGGTGAGTAAAGCTGGAAGAGGCAACAAAACGGCGGCAACAACACACCAATTAATTGGTATTTTTTTTTGTAAATGAATGTTGAGACTTCAAGCTTTTTACGCCCCAAGTTGATTGACCTGGTCTCATTTTTTTTTGGCAAATCGTCCTGCATCTTTTATCTACGCTGAGACAATTGACAGTCCTGCAGCTCAACTGGCCCAACTTCAGGTTCGATAGGCAATGAATGGCCAGCACTCTATTGATATGCAATATCCAGCGAAGAAATGCCTCATGCATGCTCCATACTCATAGCCATCAGGACGGAGGAGCGGCCAAACGGACGATCGACCCATCAGACACAAACACAAAGCATCACAAACACAGAACACACATTCACCCCAGTTTGTGTGTTCTGAAACCCGAACTCCGTATACATTTTTGACATCACCAAACTCCCGGAATGTCGTGGATGGAGATGTACCGAGATGTGGCTGGAAACTCCAGAGGGCAGAGATCTTCACCTGCCCTACCTAGACCTGACCAGTTTGAATCTCCACTTGCGTCCTTTAGAGGTGTCCGTCCGAACTTCCTCGCTCGGAGCTCCGTGCGCGGCATGGCCTGGCGCTCGAAGGCCGCAGAGGCGCTGCAGGAGGCCTTGAGCGTGGAAAGCACGCGGGAATGGACGCCGCTCCAGAGCTCGGGGGAGGTGATGCTCGGAGGTGAAAGAAGACGTGTGTTTTCGGTGTGTTTTCCTAAAATACGGCCACCTGTGAGCCACCTGATGCACCAAACATTCACTGAAGGTCTTCCTCCGGATTTTCAGTGTTTTGATATGAATGTTGGTGTGTTCTTGTTTGTCCGAGAAGCTGGTGATGTTTGGATCATGTGTCTTGGAGGCCGCCAAGGGGGGGCCATGTTGGCGGCCACGGTCTTGAGGCGTGGAACCGGCTGTAACCGGGGTTTCCACCAGGGTGTGGCCACTGAGGCGCTTGTTCACTTCGCCGGTCTCTGGTCCATTGCCATTCTTCCGCGGATGCCTGGAGCGTTCGGCCGCCACAGTCGAGCTGGCAGATCTGGTACGAGCGGCTTGGAGAGGAACACCCAGACCCGGAGAGCCTCCTACCCTGTCGAGTGGACGCCACAAACATACCGGTTTCGTTTAGACTATATCGCATACCGGTTTTGTTTGCTATATCTGTATAGCAAAAAACATCATTACACACTTTTTCCACCAGGAGAAGATCCACAGCCTCTCAATGGGGGTTATTTTCGGCCGCTGTGAGTTCGCCACCCGACAGGGACAGGGATCGCAGGGGGATGAACAAAGCTCTGAACTAAACCATGACATCTCTATCTTGGGGGCAGCGCAAAAACAAGTCAACAGTGGCCTTCTGCCAGTTCAGACGGGGGGGATGGACGGCGGAGAGAAGCCGTTGGTGTTCACTCAACTCAGTTGCATCTTCTTTGGACACATCCACAACCCCATACAGGTGGCCTCCACCGTGACCTACCGTGTGGCCTCCACCGTCACGTGGTGCTGATGATGTGACACCTCCACGTGATCCGAGGTGCTCGTGTCCGATTCTTGTCGACGCTTCTGGGATCCCTCCTATGCCTTCAGCCAGCTGCTGGGTCACCAGGACACTATGGCGCTCCTGTGCACCCGGCAGAAAGCCTCCCCCGTGGCCAGTGAGTCTGTGTGGGCCCCCTGGTGACAGAATGGGGTTCGGCGCGTGCACGAGTCGGATTCGCTGGAAGCCAACGGTCACGAATGATGACACGGTCTGAGTACCAGGCGACCGTTCGAATCCAATGATTCAAACAACATCAACAGAAACCATGTTCAACCTGGAAGAAGAACTGATGTCTAAAGATTATGTCTAAACTGGCAAGCAAACAAGCTGATGAATTACATGACTTCTTCCTTCAGGAGTTGCTCGGTGCTGGTACCATCAAAGGCATTTTGCAAGAGCCTTTTTGGACGTTGCTATGGGCTGCGGGGGTTAACTGGCAAAACTACAACTCTTGCTACAACTTTTGCTCGAGTTCTCAGCTTATGCTCCTTGACCCTGGAAGCCAGAATGTCCCAAGCTTCTCCAACATACTTCTCCAACATACTTCTATGCATTTATACACAGTATATGTGCTTTGATTCATGGTGGGGAAGACCTGGACGTGTCACAGGTCAACGCCTGCACGTCCAACATGTCGGCGGAGCGCTTTACCTATGCCGCCACCAGCATCGAGGACGCCGACGTCGGGCAGTCGATGCCCGCAGCTCACGCGGGGCTCACGCGGCTGGCGACGCGGCTGTGGGCGATCGATGTGCGGAAGAAGGAAGACCATTGGGAGGCCACTGGGGATTGATGTGGAGTTCTTGGTGGGGAAGGTCAAATAAATGCAAATGATACCAGCCATTGAGTTCTTGAGTTCTATGGAGAGCATGAAGAGCCGTGCCTGGGATGCACCAACGACCTGAAGAGTCGGGTTCTCGGCCCAGATCGCTTAGATGGACCTCCTTGCCGGTACGAGTGTGAGGAAACAGCGGTGCCTCCATAAGGGCCCCCGTACGAATGTGAGGGATCTTCCGGATCACATGGCCCCAGCAATGCCTTTTTGAAGGAGATGTTGGTGTTTTTTCCGTCTTGGATCAATTGTGGAGTTGCTATAGGAACCTTTAGAATCCTTTAGATCTCTGATCACATCTTCTGAAGAACTGGAGAGACCTCTTGCATCCCGAAGTCAGTCGCTGGCAGTTGTCCTTCGTCTTGCACACAGCGGCCACATCTTTCCGCCTGCCAAACTTCATGTACCTTGGCCGCCCTAGCCCTTTGTTTGGTGAGCTTTTCCTCATGCTTCTTTGAGGACCAGATGGGCCTCAGATGGGCCAAACATGTATTTGTCCGGACTCAGTTTGAGCTTATGCCCCACATGACGGGGGTAGATAACACAAGACCCATGCATGAGGAACAGACGTCTCCAGGGTTCTCTTGAACTTGCCCTCTGAAACTTTAATGGCAACCCTAGTCTATGAACGAGTGAGGTGCTTTTTATTACTTCCTTCCTACCACCACTCTAGACCTGCTGCCCAAATACAGTCCCGCACACCTATAACATACTATAACCAACACGCTCATTGTTTCGCCACATCATTGCTGACAAAGACGTGGACCAAGCCCTACACAGCCCTGGTTCCCTCGTAGCATCGGTTTCGCACGCGTCGGGTTTTGCTCCGAAGTTCGAGTTTCTTTCTGGCAAATCGAAGCAAATCGAACTCGGAGTTTGATTGTATCGTTGAACTGTTTCACTGGTTAGCTGGAACTCCAGCCATGTCTCCAAAGACTCCGCAGAAATGCCGTTCCTTTATGGTGAATATTCCTCTTGAGGCTGAAGCCGTTGTTGGCCTCGTGGATTAGCAGTTGCCTGGTCTCCATCTGGCGCATGGCCTCGGCACAGGTGCATGATTTTCGCGGATCGCTTTCCGGATCGAGCACGGGGGCGTGGTGAAGACTTGGACGCTGCCCGAGAAACGAGCAAACGGTCTGCTAGAGGACGCCGTGGGACATCCTATACAAAACGGTCCGCCAAATGCGCGGCACACTTCCTCCACCGAACCTTGGGGGTGTGAAGTCGTGCGAAGCTCCGGTCTGTGTGATTCGTTGGTTTGTTCTACCACTGGAGGCAATGCTTGCTGATCCATGTTCTGGTGATCGCGGTGAGTATGGTGGTCGTGCTCCGTGACCTTTGGACTCTGGACTGGAGTGACCACTTCGAGTGGTTGGCCGCCCAGGACCTTCAGGGTCCTCCAGGTGCTCAGCACCGTCCGCCCGACGGTACCGACCGTACCCTCGTGGCACCGGTCCAGGTGGCGCCCAAGGGCCCCGTGTGCCTCATCGCAGCCCGAGAGTCGGAGCCCAAAGCGGAAGGAACTCCAGTGGACGTGGCCGGGCGCATGCTGAGCTTCGCCGGGCCCAGGATTTGGTGAAAAAGGGGGCGATGAGGGGAGCGAGCGGATGGGACTGGGTTGACTTGGGTTGACCTGCTAAAGACTTAAGCGGATGGGACGTGAATCACTGTTCTGAGGTGAAGGGACTCTTGGTGGCCAGTAGGCCAGTGGTGAAGCACATTGGTGAGTCTGAACACAGTGGGCCAGGGTGTTGAAAAGATCACTGCGAGTGTTTTGAGGTTTATTTGCTTGAAAAGGACAGGACTTTCAGTATGAGCTCCGGGACCTGTGGAAAAATGTACGGGATTGGGGGAATGCGAGATTGAGAATTACCAGCCCAGTTGAGACAGTTGGACGAGCTTCTTGAAGTTCTAAGAAAGGTGCTTTATGTTGGCGAGCAAAGTTATTGAGACGTAGACTTGGTGACCATGATGGACAATGCAAGAAACAACGGAGCTTTTTGTGTTCATATTTCGAGGTTCAATGCTTTGGACAGTTTGCATCTGAATGGGCCTGCGCCAGGTCTGAGGGTGAGCAGCTTTCAATGGCTCGACCAGCCCAGTAAGGCCGGGTAATGACTGACACGCCCAGAGCAAACCATGAATCAACGAGAGCTTGGCTTGGAGGGCTTTGCATGGCTTTGCTAAGAATATGGGATCCTGGGATTTGTGGGTAGCGTGTGATTCAGAGGTTGCTAGCCATACTCACAGCAGTCTTTGGCAGTGGTGACAATCACCTCTCTATCAGGACCTCTCTATCAGGTGATACAAAGGTCTGCCTGGAGCTTTCAGCGTTTGACTTCAAGTCTTCAGTCTCCAAAGCATCTGATCTATGTGGCATGTGTCCCATGTTTCCTTCCGCCGGTCTGTTGGCGACCTCAATTTCTGAAGGTGCCAGCCTTTGCTGCATAATTCAAGGCGAGGCCGGTCAAGTTTCATTGCAGTGCAAAATTGATCTTAACATTGTAACCTTGATGATTTTGCAGTTGGTGGACGTATAGAAGTAAAGTTAAACAACTAGATAGACATATAATATATATATAGAGTTCAATCCGCGGTGTCAGACACTCTCATATCCACGTACATATATTCCGGCACAGATTGAGTCAGATTGATTCTTCACAAAAGCACTTGTTCCCAGCAGCTTCTTGTTACGTTCGTAGCGATGGCCTCCAACCGAGCATCGCAATGGCCACCGGACCGAGGTGCGGCACGCCGATGATCGTGAGCCGCAGCAGGGAGGTTGAGGCGATGAAGATGAAAACGCCGAAAGACGCAGCGGTTTAGGGAACGCCATTAGGTTCGAGGCCATCGCTAGTAGCTTGGAGGCCATCGTTAGTAGGAGAGATCGATTGCAACATAGAGCATATAATAAGGGGGTTGAGTCAACTTCTGGTGAGTCCTTCAAGGGCTAAACCCACGTGGTGCAGAGGACGTGTTTCTCCAAGGTCGACCCGCAGGGTCTTCGCTGTGTTTTTGTTGGGTCTTCGCACTTGGTTGGTGGTGTGATTTCCATTGGGAGTGCATTAATCACACCACCAACCAAGTTAGTCTCATTGGTCTCCCTGGTTAGATTGGTTTGGTGGTGTGATTAGATTCAGTTGGAGACACATCAAACCAGGGATCCGGACCGGACCGGAACCTCATGAGACCAGAGACGGACGTAAGCGCAAGCTGTGGATAAGCCGGTTAAGTCAGGAAGACGAACACATACGACCTTCTTGGATGTGGCCCCCCCAAGAAATTACGATCATCTCCAGATTTCCGTTTGACTTGAATATACAGAGGACAAAGCTGCTTGTCGCTTGTGTCCAGTCTGTGGTTCTACTCATATTCACCATCATTGAGACCAGGAAGCTGTGATCCTCAGCAGTGCTAGCATGGCTACCTGCTACCACGAAGGTTGCTTGTAGGTGTCAGCATGGCACACTGCATCCGCTCGTGGGGTTTTGGACTCAGCAATGGATTTCATCGGATCTTCAACTCGTGCTGCGCAGTTCTTGGCAGAAGCACCGGAGCCTCACCAAACTGTCTAGCTGCTGTTTTCCAGCTGAGGTGCATGAGGCTTGCCCCAAGATGTCAAGGATCCAATATACTGAAATGACTCAAATGGTGATGGATCAAAGTTCAACGTTGAACGAAGAGAACTTCCTGGTGGATGTGGTTTAGCTTGGAATCGTGTTCAGTCTCTTTCTTTTGTCTCGCACCCGACATGTTCACAGCAATGAGCTGGTACAAAAGGATTCCTTGATGGAGCTGCCGTGGTGAGAACTTTCTAACTTTCATGGAACGTTCCTCAAAACCGACATTTCATTGTTGAAGATCATAGAAGATCCCTACCCTGCCAACAAGGCAATCAAGGGGGGTGCATCAAACATGTTAGAAGTGAGCCGTGAGCACCTTTTTCGCCAAGTGGTAGGACGGGTATGAATCATTCAGGGGAGTTGTCGCTACCTAAGAAAAGCATGTCGATGTTTGCATCAAGTCTCACTAGGAAAGATCCGAACATGACAAGCTTTCTATATAGATCTGTATAGTGGAGTAATGTGAAGCATGGTGCAGTTTGCGCAGTGCTGTGACTTCTCTGATCCTAGATTTTGGACTTTCGTGGGACCTTTTGGACTTTTGGGTGGCTAACCCGAGCTTGCAAGAAGTTCCTTTTGTTTTGGTGAGGCCCTGGTGTCATGGGAACACGGTAAGTGCCACGCGAGGGTCCGTGATCTGCTACCCCATGGAGGGGACTGGACGTCCAGTGCCGTGAGGACGAGTGTGTTAGCAGCACTTGGATTTGTTTCCATAGGGAGAATACCGAATACTCCCCAAATCCCTGTGCAAGCTGTTGGATCAATCAACAATATAGAATATGGATAGAATATGGATAGAAGCTTAAAATACTTCTTTCCGGTCGCCTCCGGCCTCGTCGCCGCGACATTTTCCCGACTCAAAGGGCGGCTGAGGTGCTGTCGCAGGGTGGCAGGGACGGTTGGTTTAGAGCGCAATGGCCTCGCAGTGCAGACAGGACTCGGTGGGAGGTCCGTTGCAGGAGACTCTCCAAGGCCGGAAAATCACAGGATCAAAGCCTCAAATCTGAGAGAACCTACTAGCAATGGCCTCCACCCTAGTAGCAATGGCCCCCAACCTACTAGCTCCAACCTACCAGCAATGGCCTCCAAGCTACTAGCAATGGCCTCCAAGCTACTAGCAATGGCCTCCAACCTAGAAGCAATGGCCTCCAACCTACTATCGAGGGTCCTTGGATGATGTTGAATCCCAGAATCTTCATGAACGGCCGTGCTGCTTTTTTCGGTGTTCGCGCTGCGAGCCGCGCTGCGAGCAGTGCTGCTCCGTCGCAGCGTGCGGCACTGGTTTGGTTTCACCACAGAGCCTAGCGGTGGCACTGGCATGATCCCAGCGATGGATGAGAGATGCAAGGGGCAGCAGAGGATGTGGAACAATTTGCTTGTCATACATTATGATTATATAATATCGTATATATTGTTAGATGGAGATCATCAACCAATTGTGATGTTAGCCGAAGTACCGATGGTTTTTCCCCAACAGCGAGGCTTTTGGGGTCTTCAGCCATAGTATAGACTTCGGAGCAGATCGGAGCAAACTCGGAGCAGGTTCCGGAACAAGTTGCGGAGCCGGAGCCCAGAGCAGGTTCTGAGCAGGTTCCGGAGGAGGTTGGTTCCGAGCAGGTTCCGGAGCGGGTTCTGGGGCAGGATTCGGAGGAAGGTTCCAGACCAAGGGTTCGGAAGAAAGAACGTGCCGGGGAAGGTTCCGGCGAAAGGTTGGGGAGGGCGGAGCGACAAATGCAGTCAAAGCAGCCTCGATCTGGTGGCGCACCTGTTGGAGCAAAAGAGGTCTAGACGGTTTGATTGGTATCTCTGGTCTGATGGAGCTTGTTGAGTGTGATTGAGATCGCAGCACTCGTTCTTGTTTGCTTTTTCCGGGCTGAGTTCTTGACACTCAGCAGGAAAGGCAGTTTTTCTCTGCGTGCGAAAAGAAGCGCATGCCGCTTAGCTTGGGCTTGAGCAGCTGGTGCTTGCGGCGGAGACTGCTTCTATTCAGGTTTTCCCAACAGCGAAACTCAGAGGTCTTCAGCCATAGTAAAGGCCCCGGAGCAGATCAGCAGGTCGCGGAGCAGGTTCCGGAGGAAGTTCCAGAGCAAAGTTGCGGAGCAGGTTCCAAGAGAGAGGAGAGCGGAGCCACTCGCCAGCCACCTCCTCAGAACACATCTTCTTCTGAACTTCAGCATGAGGAGAGACCTCCACCCTTCCCAATGTCACCCAATTGCAGAGTCACAGCCGGCATAACTTGCGGGGCAGGTTCCCGAGCAAATTCTGAGCAGGTTTGGGAGCAGGTTCCGGAACAAGTTCCGGAGCGAATTACGGAGAAAGTTCCAAGAGATCTAGCCCTCAACTTGTTGTCGCAGCAAATCAACGCAAACGCCCTGAGAAGCATTTGCCTAACCTTCAGTTACGCCAGCTCCGTAATGTTTTGACTCGCTTAAAGGGTATAAGTATACAACACGCGGCGTTTAGCGCGCCCGCAGCAAACTTTACTTATCGCAAGTGCCGACGAGTGATCTCGTTGCCGGATGTTTCAGTTGCCGACCCTTTTTGTTAATAACCTGACTTCCCAGAATCATGCAAGTCAGCAAAAATCTTGTATTCAAGCTTGGAAGCATCGGTTGATGTCTTCCTTCCGCAGACGTCTCTGTTTGGGAACCCTTGGATGCTAGTGATCTTGCGGCGGCTGCTCGTAAACAACAGGGTCGAGCTGCTGGCATTGATGGATGGAGTGGCGATGAGCTCGCCCTTTTTGCCCATGTGTATTTGGGAGTCAATTCTCCCCCTGTTCCGCGAACTTGAAAAGCTTGAACTTTCACCAACCTCGTGGAAACAAATCCGTCAAATGCGCGTCCCTAGACCGGGAAAGGGTGTTCGTAGTGTTGATGGGGCATTTCATGCCTCTAGTTTGCGGCCTATTTGTATCATGTCCAGCTGGTATCGGCTGCACGCCACGGCCAGATGG